TCCAGAACCCAGAATGCAATTGCTACAGAAAACATGGAGCAACAGAAATTCTCCTTCACTGATGATGGGAGACCAGAGCGATTCAGCTACAAAACTAAGCACACACTTGCTTAATGGCCTATCTCCTTACTGGTTACCCAAGTGAGTTGAAAAACTTACATCTAAGTAACAACCTGCTCACCAATGATTAGTGATATAACTGCCAAACCTCAGACGTAAACTGCCTTTCAATAAATGAATGTGAATGAACTGTGAGACCTGCAGACAAAAAGGAATATATTATTAAGCTAAAAGAAATGAGCTAGGGAAACAAGAAGAAAACTTCAGTGCACATCAATTACTGAATGAAGGGAGTGGATATGAAAAAGCTAGATACTGTAGTAGCCTATCATGATGTTTGGGAAAATATGAACTGCTGGAGCCAGTAAAAATATCTAAAGCTGGCTGGGACTGAGGTTAGAAAGAGTGGAATCGGTAGAGCAGAGAGGACTTTAAGCACTGTGAAATTACTCCATGTGATGCAAATATGGCAGACACATGACATTGAATATTTGTTAAAACCCCAGAATGCTCACCACAGTACTGTGATCCAGGGTATTGCGGTGATAGCCATGGATTAATGTAAGCCCACTGACTGGAACAAAGATGCCACCCCAACACAGGACTTTGATAGTAAGAAAGGCTGTGCTTATATGGCCAAAGGAAATTATAGGACCTTTCTATATCTATGCCTCAATTTTTCTGTAACCCTAAGTTTTCCTAAATAATAAAGTCTGTGGAATAAAAACTCACCAAGGGCAACATATAAAACATTCTATATTGAAGTCCTGCTATATGGCAGGAACTGTTGCAGATACATATGGTAAGGAGAGAAGAAGTGAGAGAAATGAAGGGGCAAGATAGAAAGCCGATGGTTTACATCCTCAGCACCTAAATTATACGTAAAAAACAAGGCACAAAAACCCCCCAACCTCACTGCACTTCAATCCCAAGATATGGGAAGATTTATTTGTGGCATATGATTTGGTATTTTGATACCCTCTAAAACATTGTTATTGGATACTTTATTTATTTACATTTGTCATCCCCTTTCCCCATTTCCCTTCCCTAGAAACCCCCTATCACATCCCTCTACTCCTTTTTGCTTTTATATAAATTTAATTACATGCAAGTATTAAGGTCAGTTCTAGCTTGAGGAACTAGCAATACAATAAATGCAAATAGTCAAGGAACAAGCAAGAAAATAAACACAAAGGGTCAAAGAACAAGCAAGGTAATAAACAAAGTTCTGTGATCCCTCTCATGATCACTGTTTCTAAGGGCTTATCAGGATGACCAAAATATCTAAGCCTACTTCCCTGTCCTAGCCCAATGTCATTTTCATGTCTGAAGCCTACCCTTGTTCTAGCCTAAGATTTAGATTTTTGTCTGAAATAACTTCTTTGTTATAGCCTAATGCCAGAATCCTGCCTGAAGCTTACTTCCTTGTTCTTGGCCAATGTCATATTCCTGTCAAGCAGCCCATTTCCTTGTCCTTGGCCCATGTCAGATTCTTGCCAAGCAGCCCCAAAAGCTCTCCGACTCACCTCCTTTTTTATTTCATAAACAAAACTGAGCCTGTCTTAAGTCATTCTGCCAAAAATGCCTTCCTTACCCATCATGGAATATGCATTATCAAAAGCAATGCAATTATGTCTTAGGTTGGTAAGGCTCTGCAGAATCTTACCCGTTCTTGGCTTGCCAGCCTGTTAATTTAATAACTCTGTCTAGGGGTCCATTTTCAGGTTCAAGCCATGTACTTTGGCTGCCAACATGTTGATGTTGTTAAAGACAAGCTTTAACATGATAGGCAGGAATAAAAGTATTCCCAGGACAAAAGGGGCTAGCATGATCAAGCTATATATGCCATTCTTGAAGCTTGACCAAAATAGAAATACTGACCTCAGGCCATGGGTAATTTTATCAGCAGTATCTGCCACATCAACACTCAGCAGAGAAGCATTCTTTAAATTCATAATCTCACTATTCAAAGTTAAAACATCCAGAGAGATGTTAGAATTATGCCAAATACACTACAAATGCCTTTAAACCTTTTCCTAATTATAGTGACTACCACTGTAAATTTTAGAACTAACATGAATCCAATGGTATTTGGCATGACACTCGAGATGGCTCCTTACTCTTAAACTCTGAACCTCCTTCCAATAATTTGATTACCCTCTAAAACATTAAGCTACAAAGAGAATTCACTGAATATTCTACCTAGTGAGCTGAAATCTCAAAAGGGTCCTGGAAGAAGACAGAAGTAAATAAAACAGAATGCTGTACATAGTACTTAGGGAAACACAGGGTTAAGGAGATGAGGGAGAGTTGTGGTCAGACAAGCACGCATGTAGGCTCTGCCCCAAATAATCCAAATTCACATTAAAAGCCAAATCAAACTAAAACAAAACAAAAATGAAAAGCTTGTACCTGCTGAGCAAAGCCGGTCTTTGCCAGATGTGTTTTTGGTCCTAAACTGAATTCCTTAAACACCGGGGCACCAATCAATGAACCAATGCATAGTTGGCAAATACTTGCTTGGGATAATGAAAGACTCAAACAGCAAAAGGAAAAGAAAGAAAAATCAGTGAAAGATAAGTGAGCCCAAGACTAGTAAAGGGAAGTAAGAAGTATCTGTAAGCCCAACAGGGGACCTTCTATGTGTGTGTGTGTGTTTTTTTTTTCAAACATTCACTACATATCCATTAAAGTATCATGAAGATTCCCACACTGTTGGATACATTGAAATGCTCCTGATATTTCTCTTGCTAAGTTATGGGTGTTTTCATAGTAGAGAGGGAGGAGAAGGAGGAATTATCCCCAATTCCCAGTCCACACAGAAAGCGTTCTGACTACAACATATCCCATCTTACCAATATCCTCAAGATCCAGGACCAATCTCTGTGGCTTACTTGGAACAAGGGGGCATAGGAAGATTCTTCAGTCCTCCTGAGGGGAAAGCAAAGGAATAGAGTGTGCTATAAAGGAGGAGGTAAAAACAAGATGCAGACTGACAGGAAGTACTCCCTGTATACCTTTTCTTGTGAATCTTGGCTAAGTTTCTCCCACTCAGCTGAATCCCAGCCCCCTAGCTACAGCTTTCCTTTAACACCATTACTTTTCTCTCTCCCTCCACCTGCTTTCTCTGTGTCTCCAAGTTAATCCCACAACTCACAGAGGCATGGGGGACTGGAAGTAGGCTGTGAAGGGAGAGAGGAAGCAAACTGCTATACAATTAAGGGACATTGTTAGCGGCGATAAACACACACTCTGACACTTAGTTTCTCTACTGAGTTGGTTAGTATACACTGGGTACCTGCCTTCCCACCTTTGGTCCTCCTGAGTCATACTTCTATAACTGAAACCATGAATCCCCTCTTTCCACTCCTCTGAAAGCCTGAGAAAACATCGTTTAGAGTTACCTTTAACAGACAACTTTCCTAGGTAACAGTGGATTTAATTCTTATTCACATTCTTTTTATATATAATTTAACCCACTAATCAAGACTATCTTTTTCTTAAAGCAGTTGATAAATTATACTGTTGTGTATCTCTGTGTTTGAGTGTTGTCTGTGTGTGTCATTTTGTGTATGTCTGTGTCTGTGTGTTTATGTATTGTGTGTGTGTCTGTGTGTATATCTGTGTGTGTTTGCATGTCTCTGTGTGTGTCTGTGTCTTTATGTGTGTCTGTATGTGTGTTTGTGTTTGTCTTTTTGTGTGTCTTTGTGTGTGTATGTCTGTGTCTGTCTGTCTGTGTCTGTGTGTGTGTTTGTGTGTCTTTAAGTATGCCTTTGGGTATGTGTGTCTCTCTGTGTGTGGCTGTGTATGTCTTTGTGTCTTTGTCTATGTTTTTGTGTGTCTGTGCATATGTCTATGTGCATCTTTGTGTGTCTGTGTTGTTGTCTGTGAGTCTGTCTGTGGGTCTTTCTGTGGGTCTGTCTGTGTGTGTCTTTATGTATGTCTTTGTGCATGTCTGTGTATGTGTCTGTGTGTATCTTTTGTTTCTCTGTGTGTGTGTCTTTATGTTTGTCTTTGTGTGTGTATGTCTGTGTGTATGTTTGTGTGTCTGTGTCTCTGTGCCTGTGTGTGTTTGTGTGTGTGTATGTGTGTGTGGCTGTGTGGGTGGCTATGTGTGTGACTGTGTCGTGTGGCTGTATGTGTGTCTGAGTGTGTGTTTATATGCATCTTTGTATGTGTCTGTCTGTGTGTATCTCTGTGTGTGCCTCTGTGTGTGCCTCTGTGTGTGCCTCTTGTGTCTCTGTGTCTGTGTGTGTCTTTGTGTGTGTGTATGTGTATCTCTGTGTGTGTCTCTGGGCCTGTGTGTGTGTTTGTGTGTGTGTGGCTGTGTGGGTGGCTATGTGTGTGACTGTGTTGTGTGGCTGTATGTGTGTCTGTGTGTGTGTTTATATGCATCTTTTTATGTGTCTGGGTGTG